ACAATTATTACCATTATTAAAATTACTGAAAATAGTTTAATGAGTGACTGCCTCGTTGGCCGAGTGGTCGCAAGGGCGTCTGCCGAGGGGTCTCGGGTTCGATTCCCGGGTCGAGCAAAGTATTATTGTTTTTATTTTAATCTCAGTAGTGGCACGGAGTCTGAAATTGTTCTAGGTATATGGCAATAGACTCACCTATTACATGGAACTCATAACATAAATAGTGAAAAGTGGGTGTTACATTGTACAGTTGTGTTAAGTGCCATAATGTGCATCTCTGCCAAATCTTCATGGATAAAAAGGCGTGATATTATTTTGTTATGTTTAATGCATGTATCAAATTCATTTTAAATAGCAATATTTATAGAATTAATATTTACAAAATAATAAAATTACTCACAGAATTAATAGGATTAATCCATGTTAAGTGATGTCTGTCTCTGCGGACTGAGTTCCTGCTTTCCTAGAAAAATAGAGAATTATTATTTATATACAGTAGACCCACAGGTGACTACTGATCATGAGGTTGCTATTAATTCACATTTTAGCAAGAATACAGATGAGATATTTTTTTATAAACAACATTTATAACACAATGCTATTGTTACTCATATGAATGTAGTAGACATGGGCGATTTTGGTTTGGAACGCAAACGGATATTTAGCCGATTACAGATTTCAAAATCAGTTTTTAGATAGTTCTGTAAATCAGATATTTCTGTAGCGCATAGCTTCGCCGATTCGTTGCTTACTTAGATTTCGTTTTATTAGATACCGAAAAACACAAAAATAGAATATCATAAGATAGAGGTTTGCCCGATTTTCTTTCATGCTTTAGTCTAGGCTAGCAGAAAAGTTTTATTTACGATTTGTCACCAAGTTGAAGTTTGCATAAACAATAACAAAAACATAAGATAGAAAACAAAACCATAAACCAAAATACATCAACACATAATCACACAAATATAGTCTTTATTACTCTAACAATAAAGGAGACATAGAATGCATAATGTCAATGTGTAATTCATATCCTCTTTCGTCCTCGTTATGTTCGGCGCAGTTAAAAAGAGAAAAAGCGAATTTCAACGCATCAGTCAGTTTGCGTTTGCGTTTCGAGTTTGGATACACACACAAAACGTTTTATGATATTCAGTGATTTGATTTTATTAGTTGGTTGGGATTAGTTTGCTTTTATAGATTTAGATTGTTAGCATTTGGTTTGGCTAGGGCGATTTTTGAAATCGGCTTTTCTAGATTGAGAAATCGATACAAACCATTTTGTGTATGAAATCTGATTTCGAATTCGTTTTGATATATCTGATGCATGCCTAGAATGTATGTTCCATACCTGATTCCTCTTGAATCTTGCCATAAGATCTGGGTTGATCTTCTTGAAAGCTGCATGGATGGAGATAGCAGGTATATCCTCAGGCACACATTCTGGTTTATAGGATTTGAAGAGACCCAGAAGAACTTGAAGTTGTCTGAACATATTCTGTAAACAAGAAATAGTGGTATATCATTATTTATTTTATTTTAAGAAGGCTTTTATTGGCTTAAGCCTGATACAGGCAGGATGAAGTTCATACTCAAAAAGGTTGCATATAGTCATAATAATTGCTATGAGTATTGTCAAGCAAACCTTGGGTTGAAACAGTACATGTAAAAGCAAGGTATAATTTGAACCAGGTCAACCAGGTTCATTCTTCAAATTACCTTTTTAGCTTCTCTCTTCCTGGCATAGTCAAGTAATTCAAGAACTCTCCTCCTTGTAACATCAACAGGTTTTGTCAGGGTGTACACCAGTTTCACTGCATGAGGAGTCTGAAAGACATATTAAGAAAAATAAGTAAACAGATTGCAAATGTTTAATGAGCTGATTATCTTATCTTATACTATTATATAAAGCTGAAGACTTTGTTTGTTTGAATGCACTAATCTCAGGAACTACTGGTAAGATTTCAAATATTCTTTTTGTGTTGGATAGTCCATTTATCGAGGAAGGCTATAGGCTATAAAACATCACACTACTATCAATAGGAGTAGAGCAGAGCGGGTAGCTAGTCTCTCTTATAAAATTAATTAACTGATTCTCAATAAAATATTCTTGATGAGTTTTTATTGCAATTACATTACTTTCTTCTGTAAATCTGTATTTATAAAGCAACATTGAAGCCATTGCTGACTGACTAACTATCTACTGATTACAAACTCCTGAGAATTATGTTGAGTTTAAGAGTCCTTAGGTCACACTTGACCTAAGGGCTCTATGTCACTACATAATTATTATCTTTGATTAAAGTATGATTGAGTGTTTTTCTTTCAAAATTACTTACCAAAGTCTCATAAGTCAAGCTGACATAGAACACATCATAACCCATGTCCAGAGTCTCCATTTCAATACATTCACACTCCATTGCAGCTGCAAACAGTAAACAATAGCTTAATTTCACAGTTACAGTTAAATACTAACCACTTGACTGCCAGTATATGAGACACAATAGAAAATACATTGTCTCACATACACCTATGTTTCGGCATACTATATGTTATCAAATAACATAACATAAAAATTATGGGAATTAAAGATTATAAAAATTATACACTATTACTTTACACCTTGCTTGTTGTTGTTGCTTGTTTGCATTACACCTATCTTAGCCTTAATATAGACAGATTTCACAAAAGATGTTGGAAATATGGGGCCACAATAGGGTATGAAATATATTAAATATGCAATACACAACATCAACACCACAATTTCAGTGAATATGAGGGCAATTCAAGTACGACAACATTAGTATAACAACATACCTGTAAGCCAATCTAATAAAAATCCGATTCGAGAGAATGTGGATTGGTCCTCATAATTAGAAAGCATCCAACTCAAAGCATACTCCACAGTTCGATCTTCAACGACATTCTGTGGCACAAGGCAAGCACCCAGGCTTACCCATTTTGATATAGCTGAAAATAAAATGTTTACGTTCTAATAAGAAACAATACAGACTTATTAACGCGCTGATCTCCAAAACTGCTGGTTCGTATGGAACAAATCTTTTTGTGTTCCATCTTACTAAAGAGCTTACTACTTACGAATAGATAAGTTCAACCAAACTTTGAACAAAGTATGAAAATCATTGTAAAGTATTTCAGTTGTGTCAACAGCGTATGCTAATTCATCAATTTTGTTCTGAAACAAGTCTTTATCGAATCCTTTCTTCAGCGATTTTATGTAATCAATAATTTCGTCCACATCTGCCATCGTCAACACTAAAAAAGTGACTCGATATTCAAAATAAACCACAATATTACAGCGCTTCTTTTAAAGTATTTCAAAAGTTCACGTTTGACTTTGACGACGGTTGAATCGTTGCGTTGAATTAAATAAATGACAGACGCTCGCTGTCAGCAGTGCTGTCAGCAGAGAATACAAACAATCACAGATTAAAAAAGAGTAACTTTTTTTTTAAGTTTTATTTGAACTCATTTGAACGTACCTAACAAATGTTAATTTAAAGTAAAACATTGGTTCGACATTTTTTTTATATTCTCCAGCTTAATAAACATATTCAGAAACAACAATAAAATGCACGCTATTCATAAGGTATCAAAAAGAAAATGAAAGCACAATATTTCTTTTTATTCCATGTAATATTTCCGCAGACAATTTTGAAATTTAAAGGATTTCAAAATAATACTTATTATAAAATATTTTTACTGCGAGCAAAACATTTCCTTGAACCTATTCAGCAAAGAATCTGAAAACTAGTAAATGAATACAAGGTCAAACAAATATACAAAGTACCAATCTATGCTTCGTATTGACAACACTAGTTTCATGACATTTAGATTAGTTTACGGGGTATGTTTCTCATAACACGAAAGGAAACGGATTTATATTTTACTAGTCTGGTTATTTAATTGGAAAGTGACTGACTTTTTGCATCTCACATATTTTAAGTAATTTAAATCATCAAAATACGCGACATAAATAAAATTTCTAATTATTTTAAATAAAAAAATTTAAACCTGACTGGCAGCTAACCCTATAAACAACAAATGAAAGCGTCCTTGTCTATGATATAAACTCAAAATGTTGCAACAGCAGAACAAGTCCCAAGTTATGTGGAATCTTAGTTATGAAATTACCCTTTTTTTACTTTGAAATATAACTCGATGATATTACGTTGTATATACACATTACCTATTTATTTTAAGGTATTCATATATGTTTTTAATTTAAATTGTTCATGGACAAAACCGTAAAAAAGTGCAAATCACGTCACAAACCAAATAATGTTACGCTAAATAATCGTATATTGCAATAACAGCGATTGAGGTACGCAATTTAATAAAAAATTCAAAGTATAACTTGGTTCGACACAAAAATTTCGCAATTATGGCTCGACTGAAATTAAACAATGGCTATTTACTAAGTCATATTTATTAGATTGGTTTGATCATTGGAGCCGGCCAGTCAGAGCGCCGAACGAGGTCTCATTTCGATCTCCTTATACGTAAAACAAATTCGTACTAGGCCCTAGCAACAAGCATTTTTTAAATTATAATACTCTGAAGTTGTGTGACAACTTAAGCCATGTTTCTATTTCCAAGTAAAATGACGTTTTACACAATTATCGTAAATTAACTCGTCGAGTACCGGTTTAGTAGACACAATTATAGAACAATAGGTTGCGGTCACCGATGACCGCTTGGTGTTTGACAGTTTAAAAATAACATAGTAACATGATCCACACATCTTCATATAAAAATCCACAAATCTTTGTTAATTGCGAGGACCGCCCTGAAGAAACGCAGAACACACGGTGGGGCATGCCCTGCATGGGCAAAGCACCGCCGTGGCGACGGCGACCTCTCACGTCCGGTCCATGATGCGGAGCAAGGAGGGCTGGGATGTCGTGTCCTCCTTTTGCGTAGCTGTCATGCTAGCTAAGGAGGAGGCGGGGCACGTGAGGCAGCGAAACGCTGCCTCCTCACAATACAGCCGTTGCGAAGAGCATCCTGGACATCGGGGCTCGCCGGACGATTTCAAATCACCCTAAGCAAGCACGGGCCTGTGGACGGCAAGTAAAGGCAGCCCGACCAGAACCAAACCCGAGCGAGCGGCATGTCGCGTTCCGCGCGCGGATGGGGCCCAATAGGCCTGATGACGATACGGACCCGCGGAGAACGTAAAAGGTTACCGAGGCTCCTGCTCAACTCGAATTGCAGAAGTAGGCGGGAGAGACGTTCGATAATTTTCTTTCTGAAAAAAAAAATCGTTCTATAAGAACCTTCTCTTACAAATAAATATTTCAACGAATAGTAAACGAATTAGCGAAATCGGTTCTGCTATTCTCGAAATTTACTATTTACTAATTTATTATACTATTTTAAATTATAGATTTAAGCACATTAATGAAAATAATTCGCAAATTTATAAAGTCTGTGAAACAACTGCATCTTAGTCTAATAGTTGCAAATGCAAGTAGATCGCGAAATGATAGTAATCTTTATATCGAATCAGATATCTCTTACATCATACATACATACAACTCTACTAATATAGGTGTGTCATTAGCGTTTTAGGAATCATCAGCTGCACATTATTTTTTTGCAACTTTGTCTTAATCATTCCAGTTTCATTGTTCTCTGTATCCGTATTTTTCACCTTCTGTCAAACAGTCATGTGGAGTTTCTATACATATGGCTGGTATTACTAAAGCATAGACAAGACGCTTTATATTTTCGCTTCTCTTATTGAAGTGTCAAAATGAACGAATTGTCGTTTGAAGTAAACAGTATGGATATTTGCCAATTGACTTCTTTATAAAATATGTTTGAAATCGTTTAATCAAGAGTTAATTTTAGTGGTTAATAAAAACCCTTTAAAATGTGGCCCATGCTCCTCAATATGACACGCGACGAATGTCGCCTCACGCTTCGCAGACTCGGTATATATTTAGTCCTATAAATGGCTTTCGTTTTCCCTCCTATGGTTTTCTTAAATTATACTCAACGCGTCGCTACTTATTCGTGTGTAATCTTAACACAAATATGCTTAGAAATTTATACTTTATTCATTTGTTTGTAGAATTGGAAGCCTACTCGAATATGATCAGTGTTTTTAGAGCACAAGGAGCATTGGAAGACAACAGAAAAAAACTATTGGAAGAACTGCGCGCCGTTTTGCATATAAGCAACGATCGGCACAGTGCCGAGGCGCGCCGCGTGTCTAATGACGAGTTATTAGCCACAATTGCTGATCAGTAAGTTGATATTTAATATTTTCAGTGCAGGCTTGATGATTTATTTTTAAACACTATTACACAAAGTCAAAGATGGCTGAGAGTAACTGAAAGTCAAAGGTATTAACATATTGTACTCATATATTTGCATATCGAAATGCTTGGAAGAGTAATAATCGTACAATATTGTTTTGAAAACTTGTATTTTTTTTTACTTCTTACTTAGTATTCTATTGTTGTACTGAATCTCAACCCTGTAGATGTGTGTTTGGTTTGACACTGTGGGTTGATTACAGCTTTTAGCAAACCCATTTGCTTGTTTGCATGTTATTAGAAGACTAAAAAATATTTTCTATGTATTATAAAATTTTGACAGATAACCTATTCATCTTAAATGTCATAATATTTTTAATTTCTATCAGAGTTATTCAAAAGTTTTGGTAATTTATTTTTATGTGTTCAATGTTAAGGTGATACATTATTTTATTTATAACATACATATTTTGACATTGAAGTTTTTACCAGTTACAAAATAAAATAATAATTGTTATGTACTGTACTTAGTAATTTGAGAAAAATATAAGATTGTATGAAAAAGTTAACCAATTCTGCATAAAAGATTAAAAATTAATAATGTTTAAGTTATTGATGTTAATGTTAACTATTGTTTGTTTCAATAAACAATATTTAGTTATAAAAAAACCTAAACCTAATGGTAGGTCATCACTGGCTTGAAGATGATTAAAACCTGATGGTATAATTTTAGGCAGAGATAAATATGGATTAAATAATTAGCCGAGTGAGTGACCATTTCACTGATAGCCATGTTGAATAATGTTCTGTCACATGATATTTTTTTTCGAATACTGTTTTTAACTCTAACATGATAATTGGAGTCATCATTGATCTGCTTTACTGCATGAAAACGTAAATGTTACCAATGCTGCTTAACAGTATGATACGAGAAGCCATTTCTTCTAGAAAGCTTCTAGGAAGATTCCTACTTAGATATGTGATGTGTTTGTATTTTTTTTTTATTTTGACACATTATAGATTTAGTTGTAGATTTACACTGGTAGTTTATATGCAATATTATGATAAGATTTTAACGAAATAATATAAGTGCTATATTATTCATGATCCATATTAATAAACATTATTGTCATCACTTCAACAAACAGGTTAGCAGGCCCAAACACAGGCTTAGCATGGATCAGTGAAGGACGAAGACGGGTGCCTTTGATGCCCCGAGGAATTGCCCAAACCATCTACACAGAAATAGCTGACAAAGCTGCTGAAGCTGCAGCAGCAGAAAATAAAGAAATCCAGAAAAGACTGGAAGCCGAGAAACTTGTTGCTCCTAAGTCCAATGAGGAAGAAATTCCTGATGCTGAGGGCCAAACCGCTGAGAGTGCCCTCGCATCTAATGAAGCTATGGATGTGACTGTATACCCTCCCGTGGCCATGGAAGACCAGACAACTAAAGTGAGTACACCCAACTAAAGCTTTAAAAGTAAAATAAAAATTACTCTTATTTTATTATGATTAAAATTGAAACAACTAAACACAGACTAACTACTAAAATCGCAATCCGTTTTCATTTGGCTTATTACTTCTTACATAACTTCAATAAACTCTGCACTGTAAAATGCCATAAATGTTTGAGTTTGGTCATAACTGCATGTTTAAGTTGAAAAACATTGCTTTAAAAAATCAGTGAAAGGTTAAAACGTAGTAGTGACTATTATGTAAGTGTGATACCTTGTATTATATGAAATTAAGTGAATTTTTAGAAGAAAAAATCAAATATTTTGATTTTAGATTTGGGAAACTGAATTAGCAAGCCGAAAGCGGAAAGTTCCAGAAGGTGGTGCAATACCAGAGGATGCCACTCCTGTTAAAAATATGAGGAACATCCCTATGAACACCAACCAGAAACACTTGAATTTATCACAGGTCTATTCGAAATTCTCACAACCGGCCACAAGTGAGTAAATTACAATATTTATTTTAGCACAGATAAAATTAATTATTTAAAATTTATTGTAATGCATTTTGTTCAGGTAAACCATCAGGACAGTCGAAGCACTCATATAATCAAGTAAGCAAAGTATCCACCAGTAAACCCAGTCAAGGCCATGGCCCGCGCACAACGCCGCACAAGAGCAGGTCTCACAAAAACAAGGGTGCGCAAGTTGTTGTGCCTAAATCTCAAATGAAAAAACAAGAACAGGCAGTTTTTCCTAGCAAACAGTACAATCCAACCTTACAAATGGAATATGCAGGTCCGCCTAACACCTTCCAGGCTAGTTACGCTCAATCTATATTAGGTAATAAAACTAAACAAGACTACATGGATGAAATAAAGCCTAAAGTATTGTCTTCCCCCGGTATGGTGACGGACTCGCCGACCATGCAGCTACTGACGCAGCCGGCGACAGTGCCGCACGAGCTCGAGGTCTCTGAGAACGCGCACCCCGACGACCCCACGTCGTTACAAGCGCAGAGTACGCCTGTCACTAAACACACCATATCCGGAAAACCTTGCCAACTTATCATAAAGAATCGCGGTGAAATTAGCACAGACAAAAAAGTACAAATGTCTGACATAAAGTTATTACAAAAGCCCGCTGAGGGCATAAAACTTTTGTCTAACAGACAAGTTGTTGTCGCGCCTAGCTCAGCTCAAAAAGCATTAAACACTCCAGCCAAGCTCGTTACTACCAAAGTAATCGGATCAATACCGAAGACACGAAATCCCAATACTCCACTTATGACTGAGAAAATGATCGTGGTCTCGAAACCAATGTCAGAAAATAGAAACATGCCCAACTCTAAAGTAATAATTACTTCAGCCGTGAGTACGCCGCACAAAGACGGCCACCCGACAAGTACAAACAGCATATCAAATAAATTAACAGAAACGCTTACACCTAAGGGCATTCCTGCCACTGATCTGAAGGTGTCTGCTAAAGCAGTAGTTTTGAACCCTAAATCAGGACAAAAAATGGTCGTCTTGCCTGCAAAAGCTAGGACGAAATCTGGAAACGAGGGCCAGTTACCGCTCCTACATTTCAAAGGCTTATCAACTGCTATGAAGTTAGTGCCAGTAAGCTCCCAATCCATTACACACATTACAAAGACGCCCACTATGACTGTTATGTCTAAGCCTACTACAGTCAGCTCAATCCCCTCCAGTGCCAAGCTCCTTGGAGTAGAGACAATAAAAACAGCAAACCTTGCGGATATTGTGCCTGTAAAGGGGCTAGCACCTGTAACAACACCTAAAATATCCAATCCTATCGTTCGACCATCTAGTGCAAAAGGTAGTGTAATTGTAGTACAAAAGGGAACACCAATAGGGAAAGCTTTAACTTTTGCTAAAAATGGGAATGACATGTCTAAAGTAATAATGGGTAAAAACGTCAATCAATTATTGCAAGCGTCGAAGTCTGAACAAGCGGAAGCCGCCAAGTGTGCCGGCAATGTTATCGTTTTAGAGTTGAACAACGAACAGACAGGTCGCACTACCACCATGTCAGAAATATTAGACAGCCGAAGTAACGCGCCGCGCACTTCAGACGAGAACGTCTCAAAGAAGTTGTCTCAAATCACCCCCGACACACCGGTACTATTTGACAACCGGATGACTGAGGAGACTTGTAATGCTAGCAGCTTAGACTCGACTACCGAGAGCATAACCGAAATGGTACCAATAGAAGATAGTGGTTTGTCATTAATTGAAAAGGATGATGGCAAATCTAATTTTGCCAAGGAATCTGAACCAGTGAAAGATTCGTCGAGTGTCACTGATTGGGAAATGGAACTAGATACAGTATCGAGAAAAGGGAAAAATGAAGACAAATTAAATTCATTACACTTAGACCTAGGCATGTCAAGTGACAGTGAGAATGAATACATGTCGACCAGTCACGAAACAAAAGCCAAATCGCAGGAGAGCTTGCAGCGGGCAACGCCAAGTGGTAATCTATATATTTAACTACACCTTTATTTTATTTTTGTTTTTTCTTTCAATTTGTTTGTAAGAAAACCTAAATATTTGTTCAGGTGAGGGCAGCGAAATGTACAGCAGTTCGAGCGCAATGACCCTCGCGACGCGAACGTTACTCAGCCAGCTACAAGACGACGGTTCGTCAAGTAACGATTCCTCATTCGCCCTGAAAACAAAAATCGAGAAGCTAAAAGAGAGCGATTCCAAACTGGACAAGTCAGAATCAGAAGCGCTTACAAAAGCGAAAGAGAAACTTTCTGAAAAAGTGGCCGAAGCAAAATCACAGCAGAAGAGAATAGACATTTACAGCACCGCGATCACCACTTCCGATATAAATTTAGATTCGTTCTCGTATCTCGATGAGGGCGACATGATGGCGGGGGACGATGTCTTCGCCACGGTGGAGGCGAAGGCGCGCGAGCCGAGGAGAGCCGACGTGCTCGACGACCAACTGAGCCGACTATTAGGTGAAGACTCTGCTAACTCGACTGACTCACAAACTGTAAGTGAAAGTATGCCTTTAAATAAATAAACAAATGAGCAATAACGTAGGTTAAATAAAAATAATGGAACCTGTGGAAAGTATCTTTATTAAAATGTAATGAACTAGACTAAGCGCGGACATATAATGTGAAGTGTAAAGTGGTGACAGTGACGGTCTCGTGGGAGGCGTGATCATAGTGCCCTTTTGTTTGTTCTGTTAAATATACAGTTTTAAAAGGTGTTTGTATACTATCTGGATATTACACATTTCCCTTCATAATAAAGAGGCTAACAGATGCAAAATACAAATTAGTTATTTGGAGATATTCTAATAATATCTAGATTCTAGATATACAAGTATTTAACTTGGGTGTGTCTAACTGATATTGGTATTTAAAAATAAAACCGTTTTCATTTGACATCATGCAATACGATCCTGTTTAAAAAAGTCACAAAACTACTTGGTTTGGGAAATAAAACAGAAGACGTCACGAATATCTCATTTATTGATCTAAAGTTATACAAGTTTGCATTTGCTTAGTTTAAACTCATAATCAACATACAGTAACTAGAAATATATCTACCTACTGTTTACTTGAATATGTCAGTAAGAAAGCGCATTGAAAATATGTGCATATAAGTTTACGTAATGATAATTGTTTACATTTACAATGTGGTAATAGGTTTCAATTTCGTGTTCACATGTGTGTGTGATCATTACTTTAAGTAAAATGGGACCAACTGCCTTCACGTAGTTCATTGTTAACAGTGGTCCCTGATTACATTACCTTCTGGAATATGTAGCAATAAAAAGTATAGGTTTAGTTTACATGGCAACTTTGTTATCAAGTATCTATTCGTTACGCACAAATTATTTCTAGCCTTTAGTTGTTGATAAGATGTTACTTACCTTACAGGCTTACCTACTAACAAAATCACTATTATTGTTCATTGTTCAACTATTATCTCGATTCAAGCCAGCTATTTAGTTTAAACATAGATTACTTATACATTTGTTATTTCAATAAAAGAAATTGAAGTACTATAGACAAATTTTAGGTGAACTCTTTAATGTTCAGATACTCAAACGCCACTCTAATTTAAGTCGCGCTAAGTATAGTTCTGTCAACACAAATTCTTTGTAAAATGACAGAGATACGCCCAAATATTTTCCAAATATCGTGCGATAATTAAATGCAACTTATAATTGAGTAGCCTTTCAGTATTTGGACTTAAGACAACCTAAATGCAATAACAATGAAAACATAATCTCTAGTTTTATGTTTATTTATTGAAAAGACTGCCTTTATTAGTATCTGTTGTATAAGTTCAAATAGAACAGCAATAAAACTGTATACCTGCTACTCACTGTTGATATAATTCACATACCATATAAATAATACATAGATCCACTTTATTTTATATACGATCCCTTATAGGTGTTTCATAATACATAATATCACCAGTAATATTAAATCACATTATTTATTTATCTAGTTGTTCACAGATGTTACTAAGATAGTATATTTATAATATACTTGGGGTGCGTGTTAACAATTTACTAAATATGTATGTATAGAAAACATACTTCCTTATTTTAATTTTCACAATAACATACTAGTGTACATAAAATTGTATCATAAACAGTTTAATTTTTTAAGATTATTGATATGCCAGTAGCCAATTGTAAAGTAGTACATTAGTTTAAATATACTTAAAGCATAAGGGAATTTAAAGCAATATCTAGATTTTGGAAATTCTTTGAGTCAGTAATATTCATTTGTTTGTGGTAAATAACTACCAGGACAGATTTTGCGGTTGTTTTAACTTTAATGAAAATTGTTAGCTGTATAGATGTCCTCTTTCCGGGAACAGAACACTGATGAGCGGCGCTTTACTATTTAACAATAAGTATCTTCACCATTCATTAAGCTACTCAGCTAGATATATGAATAAATATCCTGACTACTACACCACACTATCGATTTCATTTCAGGGCCTTTAGCCAAACGCCACTTTAGCGCTTGTCTACAGAGAGAGTAGAAATCAAAATGTATGGGGATGACACTGACAAGTGTCAAAATTTACGTCAATTCCATATAATTTGGTTTTCTATTCTACATGTAGACAAGCGCTAAATGGAGTTTGGCTACAGCTGCAGATGTTTTACTTTTTTAAAACATTTCCTACTACTTTTCTAAAACTGTGCTATTTTATTTCCGTCATTTTTTAAACATTGCAGCGAGAGCGGCATAGTTATAATTCGATTGGAACATCAAATTCTATAAAGTTAACAATTTTCAAAAATTCCGTTAGATTTTTCAGACTATCCAAATGAGTTCAAACTTAAATATCAGAAAGAAAATAACAATATTCAGAAGTGTATTGCTTCTCAACAACATAAAGTTGAAACCGTTAATTGTTTATACGGGGGATCCATAGCTATTAGCGCGGAGAGTCTCATGTTTGGCAGTTTTAAATGTGGTTTGCTAATCGTAAGGTCTCCTATAATATTTGTAAAAAGGCATGACTATTACAGCTCCTGCACTTGAAGGCTAGCCTATGTAGCAAGACAGTACTTGTAATGTTTTTGTTACTGTACAATAATGAACCCATCTGAATAAGCAAATATTTCACTTCTTATATAGTAAGATTATGTCCACTGACGAAAATTCAGCATACAAACAATAGTTCGCCTATTCATTTATCGACATAACAGTTTATGAAACAACATAAATAGCGTATACAAACACGAGATTGCTGTGTATTAACTTATTTCCAGTGGAACTTACCAAGGCATTGGTGGTCAAGGCTGGCAGAAGTGGGGGGATATTAATTGACGATGACATAGTTTTTGAAAATGGTGGTGCTACGTGATACTTACGTTTATTCTAATCAATTCAAGCTATAGGGAAGGTTTGTGATTATGTATAATTATTATTTAGACAAGAATGTCACGCTGTTAATGTGATGTTTTTTATTAATTGTTAACTTGAATTTGGGATTTTCCAAATTTCCATGACCTTGATCCTTATTTTTTCAAGGATAACAATCACGTCACCGTTTTGTTCAGAAAAAATTGTTTTGTGTATCCTAGACATGTCCTCACTGATAGAAGAACCAGTAATTGGAGCTTCTCGCTAACAGACCCTCGACACTCGAGGTGTGTCTAATAATGGTACATATTTCTTGCTTTAAGAGAATGTTTTTTACATTCTAAAGAAATGTGCCATGAATAGAAAGTAATTTTTCTATAAAAAATTGTACATATAATGTTAAAATAATTATTTTTATTGAAAATATCCCTGAAGTTTGTCAACTTTAAAAATGTACTAGTATATTTTGTATCATAATAATAATGTACGAAAAGGCATTTTTCGGTAATTGATGTATGTCCTTCAATAAACTGGATTAGTTTAGAGAAATGTTAATAGGTTTATGTCGATATTGGATGCAGGTGAATATGCTTAAGATTGTTACCACAATTGTTAAAATTGTGGATAAAATGTGTTCCCTACTATTATGTAATGTTTCCTATAAGGATTTAAGTATTGTACATTCTTGTTAAATTACGAGGCAATGTTAACGATTGACCTGCATCGGCATGTTTAATAAACTTAGGATAATGTTGTTTATTTGTTTCGTCAGCTGTAAATATTTTGCGTAGAAATACCTAGTACCGTCGTAGAATCAAACATGTTGATACAATTTTCTGTGTTTTTCGCAAGTTTATTCTATCTACTTATTTTAACGAATAAAATATTAATCGAATCGTTGAGGTCTTTACTTAGCTACATAACGTTTAAAAAATAAAAAGAAGCGTAATAATAAGAAAATAAAAAAGCGATTTCTTAAACTTAACCCTTTGTTCACGAATATATCCTCTTAACAATTTCTCAACACGATAAAATTATCACATAGTTATTTAATCTCAGAAAACAAGTAGAATTTACGAAATGCTTTCATGAACAAGGGGAACATTTTTAATTTAAAAAATAAAATATACATACAAAAGTATATGACAAAAGCAATAAAAATATTAAACGTAAACAAGCTTGTTTCATAAATACTGTGCTCTTTCGGTACATTGAATGCGAGTTGCAACGACGTAACTGACACGACGCGACACTATTCGGTAACAGCTTATGTAACGCTGAAACAAAATATATATAAATAAGTACGCGCATGTGTCATCAATAGCATGCCCCGAATAGAATGTGTGTAAAAACTATTTTGGATTATTCAAATTAGCAAATATGTAGGTATACATTTTTGTCTTATAAATATAATATTTTATAAAATATATAGCAAATAGTCCTGTAACTAAATACTTAAGTGCAAAGATAGACAAAACTGTTCATAGAAAGGAAGTAGTATAAAAAATAAAGATTGACAAGTACCCAATTAGTCTTATCACGCTGCATTAGGTTGTCTTAAGACGCAGTGACCTTGTGCATCGCCTCTGCGACGTGCTCAACATTACTTGAACAAATGCCAGCGACGGAGATACGACCGTCCTTCGTTAGGTAAATGTGGAATTCTTTTGTCATTCGCAAGACCTGGAAACAGTGCAACATATATTTTAGTAGCATCAGCCATTAATGCAAATTAACACAGTAAAACATAAAAATATAAGAGGTGCGCTATCGTACCGCTATCACTACATTGACACTAGCAAAAGGAATACGAATAGTGATGATAGGTGTTACATTATACCTGTTCAGGTTTGAGTCCAGTGTAACAGAACATGCCAATCTGGCTGGTGATGTGGTCCCACTTGTGCTTGCTGCCACGCTTCTCGATACCCTCACGCAGTTTCTTACGCATAAGGATGATACGATCTGCCATTTCTTTCACGTCCTTCAACCTGAAAACGGATTTTTAATCAAGTTACTGTTACTGCCACAATCATTACATTTTGATGACTATAATAGGTTGTGGAAATTCTATAGAAGTGTCTACAGAAAGCTACTAGCACAAACATGAAGGTTGATTGGGTCACCGACAATCAGTTGCTTGCGCAACCAAGTTGACACCATACTAGGTACTTGTACTTGAGGTACTTTCCGTAAAACTGTATAATATTGTGTTGGTTGCACGTTCTACTCATAGCAGCATAGTTCAATAATAAAATGGAGCTTACGAGCTTACACCAAAACCTACCATTGGGCCTTCAGCTCAGGGCTGGAAAGGATCTCGGTGACGATACGCGATCCGTTGATGGAAGGATTCGAGTACAGCGTTCGGATCATGATCTTCAGTTGCGACATCATCTTAGCGGCAGTGTCTTGGTCGGCACATACGAACGTGAGTCCTCCAACACGTTCACCGTACAATCCTGAAATTTTCAACAGGAATTTTTATTCAGTGTGTTTTTACACGTTTTACTTAGAAATGTCGTTGTTATCATTCTTAAATAAAATATTTATTAATTTATTTAATATGCTTCATGCACTTGATGTACAATAGGTGGACATAATGGCGCAGGCATTTTCTCGCAGTCTGACCTTTGGGTGATGCAGCGAAGAGTAAATAGTAGGAGCAAGAAGCAAGCAATGGTTTTATTTAAAAACTATTTGTTATTAAACTTTTATTTAACTTCCTTAAGTTAAACGTGTGTATTTCAGAGATTGTATATCTCACGAGTACAATACAATATACATACATACTCCATTGGTAAGCATGTTTATATTTATACTATAATTATACTATATAAGTATACAATACAAGTAGTTAACGTGATGATTCAGCCAACTCCTAGAGAAGCTCACATACTTTCTGCTTAAATGTTAGATGAGTCTTTACTTCGTTAACTGTTACCAAGTTGTTATCGTTTTGTAATGTGGAGAAACACCTATTTTTCTTTTTTCACACAATAGTGCATAAGAACTATTACCTAGAGAGCACCATAGGCAAGCACCTCATAGGCACCGCCGTCACTTTAGGCACACGAGTCTCGCCCACCTAGTGCCTAAGTCTATGCCTAGTTTGCCTATAATTAGGGATAATACGGCTCTGACTCTGATGTAGGTACAATATGAACAAATACCTATATCAGTATTTATGTCACAGAGGTCAAATTAATTTCAGGTTAAAAAATCCCATACTGATGATCTGCACTCCACCCAATTGACGTAATTATAAAAACTCGGATAAGATAACAAGGTCAGAATGGTAAACACGTAGTTGATCATTCATAAACAAGTGTTGTATGACGACACGACGGACTCGACAACAATTACTAATAAGCTACAGATATTGCATTGTCTTGTTATCGACACAAGGGCAAAAAATCTAAGGAATTTTACAGAAAAGGCTAAATAAGTTGAGATTTGAAAGAACACTGTTTTTTCCGAAATTATAATAACATCTTAGGGCTGTGTCACAGGCGTTGCACTATGGGGGCTCCGAAGCAGGTTTTGTTTTAGAGGACCAGGTGCCTTCATACAGGTGTTGGGGGTGGCCACTGGGGTGATTTTAGTAAGGTAAAAATCCCATACTCCTTTTGAATTAGATTTCCCCCCGTCATCAAAAAATAAGGTAAGTAAACATAGCGCTAGACGTCACAAACAAATATTTGAGCATCTGCTACCTAAGTAGGTATATGAAGAAGTCTCCATTATAAGTATAGACATAATATATCACTTCAGATCAATCATGGCGCTAATAATTACATGCAGAAAATGGGCGGGCTATACAGCAAGACGAGAGGAGATGAAAGGCGGATAAAGATGGTGGAAGTGGGTCAAGGAACTAGGCACAGAAACGTGGGTACATGGTGCAGTCTGAAGGAAACCTTCTATCAGCAGTTGGTGAATATAGATTCAAGAATATATCATTTAAAATAAATAGATATGCATGTAAAAATTACTATAGCATGCAGCCCGCTGGATGCCATGTTATTTGCGATTATATATCCTTATTACTTACCCATGTTCTTGGCGAAACTCTGAGCCAAAATGATCTGGTGTCCGTGTTTTTCAAAGAGCCGCACGGCGAACGCGTCATTGTCAACGCTGCCGGTCGCGAACCCTTGGTACGCCATGTCGAAGAAGGGCAGCAATCTCTTCTCTTTTATGATCTACAAGAAATGTTTTAAATAATATTATCTTGGTTTGACAATAATAAATATTCACCAATTTGAAAGGTGTACCTTATTGGATAACTGTATAATTTATAATTTTCGAAATTGGCAATTGTTTAGTAGGTAATATTTGCGGACATCCATCCATGCCAGCGTGCCCCCACAAAGACGAGACGATTTCATAAATTTTTGACAGTGAAAGTTCCTTGGATCTTAGTGTTGGCAAAAAAAAATTGGTGTTATTATATTATATTAAATATGTTACCTCAGACAATATCTGCCATTCTTCAGGTTTAGGGTCGATACCGGTGGGGTTGTGCGCGCACGCATGCAGCAGAATAATAGCGCCCGGTGGCATTGACTGTAAAAGTAAACAAATCTTTTATATCTTTTCTTATAAAATTAAGTCTTAAATAGCCTGATTGTAATAAGTTCTGTATGTCAAACACGTTGTGTAGACACACTTTTACTGTGGAATAAAAACCCATGTGTTATTTCAGACCATAACCTATCCCCTGTTCTAAATTTCATGACGTCATGTAACATACACACAAACTCGCAAATATTCGCATTTATAATATTAAATAAGATTAGATTTGGAAATAACACCTATCCATTTAACCATTATCATGATAATTACACATATAATAGCTATTAATTAAATAGCCATCTAAGGTCGATACAATAACTTCTGTTAGCCTACATAATCAAGTTCGGTTTCAGTGTGTGATGCTATTGTTTTACGATAATAGAAGTACAAATAACCATGATAACGTTTGTACGGAAAATCGCCTACCGTTTAACTACCTTCAAAAACGAGGTGGTTCTCTATTCGGATGATAGGAGATCAAACAACAACAAGTACTTTAATAAGATTTATAACAAGCATGAAACAATTTTGATTAAAAATTACTGCTTATAAGTCAAGCAAGACAATACTAGTTTTTGACATAATTGTGTGAAAGAAAGATATTTTTGGCGGGAGATTTCACGTAGAAAATTACTTCTGCCCAGAACATGTCTTTTACATTCGACAGCCTATCCTTTCAAAGAAAAACAGCAGCAAAATGTAATTAGACAAACTCCTATAAAACTGCGATAAAATATCAATCCATCTACAAGATGGTAATGACGTTATTGATTACATTTCTTTACAATTCCAATTTAGATCTACTAGTCTTGTAATTGAATACAGCAAGTACCTAGCAACAGAGAATGATATATGGTGTATACCTATCTATAACAAAACGCAGACATATAGATATATCAATGTCAATAGCTTTCATAGAGCGATGGAAAATAATGTCTAACAATGAAGACATTAAATATAAATTCAAATATCAAATATTACAATACATGTACCTACCTATGATGATATGCATAACATCCTTCCTTCACGTGTTTATAGAAAAAATATTTAAAAGAATAGAGAAATGCTCTAGACATAATATGTATTATGTAGGTATATATCACGCGGCAACATCGTGACCGAGTTATCGTACATATTATTTATCTAATAAAAACCAGTAAATACATTTTTGCTCTACACAATCCTGTTTTATCTAGTTGTAATAAAAACGATAACTAAAGACTGAATAAAAGTTGTCGTAAACAGTTAGTGATCTCGTCGATAAATGTTTGAGGAACCAGTTTTATTGAGATATTGAATTAACATACTTACAAACATTTAGTTTGTATAATTTTAATTATTTTTCTAAAGGACCATGGGCATTTTTTCTTTATGAAAACTGGGCCCACTTTATATTTATTTATTTATTTATTTAAATAGGTTAGCCAACAATTATTACACTTTTTCATTACTGTTAATAAAAGATATAACACATGTGCGAGTATAATAATCACTTATAGGCTAACACAGCATGCACAATAGTATTAGTTAACAATACACTATTTTTAAATTATGATAAAATAAAATAATATTTATTGAAAAATAATAGTGTAAAAACAAACTGACAGAAAAAATATGTTACAATATTAGGAATTCAAAAAAATTTTTTTTTTTTTTTAAAAAAAAAAAAAGTAGGAACATAAAATCTCTCTAAATTAACTAAATACGATAATGACGAAACGCAAAATGCTGAGAAGTACTCATCCATTACAACGCATATTAGTAAAAATAGCTTTACGGAACTGACCAACACTGTCACTGTGCAAATCAGTCACATCACTATAGCTGTTAATTGCTTTGCACAGTCTAGGTATTACGTGGTTTGCACCCAACACTGTTCTTCTCAGTGGTGGGCACAGTGGCGTTATGGGCTGACGTGGGTATCTCGAGGGAGCGCGAAACCGTAGGAGACTGAGCAAATCGGGACAATCTATTTGATTCCTAATTAGCTTAAACAAAAACAGCGCATCATATGCCTCTCTACGAGATGATAGTGAATGCATCCTGAAGTATTGAAGCCGGCCAATGTAGGAATTGAGTTGCTTAGCTTTACCTGTTGAGTAGGCGAGGTACCACAAGAACCTTTTCTGTACCCTCTCAATGCGCAGTATGTGGTCCGCGTAGTGGGGTCTCCACACAACACTACAGTAGTCCAGAGTGCTTCGTACAAGACTGTTATATAATAGGATCTTTGTGCCACTTTTAAATTCTCTGGAGTTCCTTATGACAAAACCCAACATTCTACCAGCTCTTTTAATTACGTTCTCTATATGGGGCAGGAGAGTTAGTTTGCTGTCGAAAGTGACTCCAAGGTCCTTAATGGTTGTTACTTCTTGGATCCTGATATTTTTTATGAAGTAATCTGAACTGATACAGTTAGCTTTCCTGGTGAATTTTATATGGTAACATTTATCAGTGTTAAGCTGCATTTTATTATTGTTGCACCATTCTACGACCCGGTTCATGTCTTCTTGCAATAGTTCGCTATCTTTTGGGGACTCTACTCTTCTAGCGAACTTCAGATCATCTATATATAGTTGTGCAACAGTGATTCTATGTCAGCTAAGTTCTAATACAGCGCGAGAAATTAATGTATTCGTACGTTTTGTTAATTAAAAATACCCACGCAACGCATGACATGTTTGTTCTGCAGGTTATTTTTCTATTTCAACAAAGGTTGATTTATCCAACACTAGATAAATTTTATCGGAGGCATAAATATTTGACAATAGTTCTATACCAAAAACTTTTAGATGCCAATTTTATTCTACAGATTAGAAATATCTGTTGGTTGAAAAACCAGCCCTAAGAATCATAGACTTATTGATTAACGAATGATAAATATCCACTGTCATCTAAAATAAGTTACTTATTTGCATTGTTACATTGTTTAGTTTATTTTGCATAATGTGGCAGCTTAGGTAGAAGCGCGCCGCAAATGGTTGATATTTAAAGTATTTTGGACCAACATGAGCTATTTATAATCCTGGCTATATTGACGCTAAGATAGCTAATTATAAAAACCAGCTCTCTACGCGCGGATTCACACGCGTGATGAACTTCCGAGGAGAACGCGTGATAATTGAGCTATTTGAGCTTAGCTGCCTTATCAGAATGAAGTATTCTATATGAACTTTCATCTATATAAATAAAAAATCAATTTCCGTTCGGTAATCTCGCTAAAACTCGAGAATGGCTGAACCTATTTGGCTAATTTTGGTATTGAAATGTTCGTGGAAGTCCAGGGAAGGTTTAAAGGGTGAGAAAAAGAATCTTCGGCGGTTCGAAGTTTGCCGGGTCAGCTAGTATGACATATAATTCACCACTGTTGATCAATGTAGAAAAGTGTTCAAAACGATGCATGCATGGGTCTTTTGGGGCTTCGGACATGCTCACACTCGCATTGGCGGCCACGAGCCGTGTGCGTGTGGCAAGCTCCGCATATGCTCTCACGTGTCGACGCGCATGTTAAAGCGCCATTTGCGCAACGTCGTGAACCAGTGCGAGTGTGAGCATGTGCGGCGCCCGTTTATAAGTAGACACACCTTAACATTGAAAATTTTATAACACAAGGGAATTGAATCCAGGGTTAGTCACGCTAAGGACGCCCGATCTAGCTATTAGCTACAAATTATTATAGCACATTTTTTATTTTTTTATCATTTTACAAAAGAAACATGAAATGCAATTAGTATTAAAACTATCTGCTTCCATTGAAATGTAGCGACATGGAAATAAACAGGTCTATGTAGTATAATACAACATAGACCTTCAAGATATTATATCATTGATGACACAATATGTCTAATCTTAATACTATCCATACATAAGTACTGATAAAGTCAATAATATGGTGTGACACTTACACAGATATCTTCACAGCACCCCTTTAGATTGAATTTGAGAGTGTTAGGGTCGTAGTAGCGGTACTTCTTGTGTGTAATGCCCAATGTGTTACAGATCTGTGGGTGGTTGCCCCATGTTGGTGAAGGCATCCAAATCTCCCTAGCGTGGTTGTAATGCTTTCCAATAAACTCGAATCCAAGACGCAGGGCACCAGTACCAGATATCGACTATAAGATAAATAGAGGAATTTATAAAGATGCACTTTCTCATACTACCTTACCAACTGATTGATAGTAGGTAGGTACTTATATTTTATTAAGCATGATAAAATTATGATGAGTAATAATAAATAAAAAATATATCATACTTCTCCTGCCACAATCAGATACATTATATTTTTGCAACTGTATATTTAAAATAAAAATTGGCTTAGTCCATTTTATGTTGTATCCATTATTGCTGGGAAAGTTGAAAAATATTACTCAAGCAAATCTGAGACAAGTCCATAGTAGAATATAATTTTTCTAATAGATTCAAAGGAAACATACCTGGACAGTCGCATTTCTTTTTTCTTTAATGGCTAAACTGTTCTCACCAAGGCCAAGTTTGGCAATAAGATCACAATACACTGGATCACCACCAATAGGAGCATACTCATGGTTTAAACACTTCTTAAAGATGTTTTCTTCAGCCTGCGATAGAAAAAAAAATATTATAACATTATAATTGCACTCTATATTATAAAGCATCAATATATCTAGCTGTTGGTGTATATATTTCTCTATTCTCTTTATCAATTCAAATGCTAAAAAAATATGCAAAATTGATGACAGTATATAATCTAAATATTTGCCTTTCTCACTCTATGCCTTGCTTTCTCTATCAGTGCTGGGAAGACATAAATGTGTATTTTCTTTTGGTTATCTAACCTTCAACTATACTTCTCACGACAATTTAGTAAAATATTAGCTGATCTTATTGCTGCACTTATGTAATTATCTTGTTGTTACCATGCACTATGTTAATATGGCTAAGTAATTATCACTCAGAAAATAAATGCATATATCTGAATATGAATATTAAAATGAAATGCCGAGTGCATCTGTACTTTCAAGGTAGTGCCCTGAATATAGCAAGTTATCTTTACCTCTATTAAACTGTCAAACACCAAGTGGTCACCGGTGACCGCGACCTATTGTTCTATAATTGTGTCTATAATGACGGTACTCAACGAGTTAAATGATAGAATAGCAATTGTTTTTTTATTTATCAACTAGAGTATAGTACCTAGTTATTTCCAATAATAAATAAAGATTCCAATAGGATGGCAAATCAATATGTCCTGATGAATAAGGACAATGAAATAAGAGCCTGACCTGTCTCACTGATGGCAGAACATATGGCTTGTTGTTGTCATCTCTGTAAGCTCCTACACCAAGGTTTACTTTCTTAGGACTTGTGTCTTTCCTGAAGGCCTCAGCAACCCCAAGAATGGCATCAGGGGGGCCCATCGGCACATTGCTCCAGTAATTGCTGCAAAACATTAACTTTTTATGAATTTATTTATGCTTAGCTATACTATATAAAAATAGTATTGTATAAAATATCAATTTAATTAGGTAAATTAAATTAATATAATTAATGCACACCACATATTTTTATAAGAATCCTATATGACAGGCATTGTCTAATAAGAAAATTGGTTAGTGAGTCTTATTGAAATTATTAACGGCATACATGAAAAAATGTAAGTAGTTACTCAAAAATTTTCCTAATTATAGCATGCGAATTTACAACTCTAATTTAGATTAAATAATACAAGTTCTGAGAAAAACATGGTTCCTTTATGTAAATGTGGCGTGTAAAAAAAATTAAATACCATTATTAAGTAAAAATTAAATACAATGTTACGTAAATATGAAACCATATTGCCGGTATTATTACCTTTGTGCCCTCGAAGCAATGCTTAAGAAATCCACATTGCTCTTTGCTAAGAGCTGCATAGACATTTTTGCTAAAACGTGCGGCATTTTAATGTTTTAATACTGTCCAACACTTTTCACAACCACAAACACTTTTCGAATAAGCAAAGAATATTCAACACCGCAACTTCGCCACAACCGATGGCTTATCTTCCGGTGTTCTGATAAATTGGCAAGTTGTAGGGTAACCAACTGCGAATTAAAATTTTGTATAAAAATATATTTATATTGGGCACTACACGTCAGAACAAACACTTATTTATAAAAAACTGATAATTATAGCGTGTTTCACGTTCAAAAGAAACTTTTTACACTGTTTATCAGTGATGTAGGTTAGATCAATGTGTACAGTAAGTTGCTAACTATTACCAGATAATAAGTAATTCATAATAAGCTGACAACACCACTGACTATGAGCGTCATCACATAAACATACCAATGTCACGAAAGGTCATGTCATTCATCACTAGCATTTACAGGGCTCCGACAAATTATCGGAGTCCTACGTTCTGAATCGATATTATAAAAACATAAATCTTTGCATTTAGATTCTGAATGCCACGATAATTTTGTTAATTGAAAGAATTTAATGTCACATTAATTTTATTATTTTAGACGCGTTTTTACTTTTTTTACATTTTATATTCTTCTGTCATTGATGGACTGACAGCAAAATTCTCTCTTCAAAATTGAAATAGAGTAGAAGAATTCATAGTGAAAAGAAGGAAATCTAATGAGGTACGACATTGTGTAGGGTAGTTAGGTTGCAAACCGTACTTACCGCGTCCGGAGCTCTGATTGACCGGCTCCAATAAACCAACCAATCAGAATGCCGAACGCGGTCTCGTTTCGTTTTATCGAAAAACTAACTCGTACTAAGCCCTCAGAATGTCTCTGGAAGTATGGATCATAATAATATCATGAATATCCTCGTGATTTGCATCTCCAAATAATCTGTATGAATAGTGAAAGCTTTTCTGATACATGGCCAAGTTTCCGTAGTGTATATTTTTCACGATAATCACTGATAAATTGAATTAATTTTCGCGGGAACATTTTTTATTCACCTATTTTACTAAGTAAAATGTTGATAATAACAAATCTACAAAGCTTAAAAATATTAATTACATGGATACTTCCACTACTTCCGATTTTATGTTTGATTAAATTAAAACTGGCCGTAACTTTTGATCTATTAATAATCGGACCCCCATTGCAAGACCAAAAAGTTAGGAAAAGACTGCCACTATTTGTTTGATTTGATCCTTACGTTCAAGGAAATCTTGCCTGTGTAGTTGTATATTGTATGTTCATATTTTGGGAGTCCTTACTGAACGGAATATAATATACTTACATAGTACGGGAAAATATTAAATTTCCGTAAATGCCTACCGTTCACGTTAACGCCTACACAGATCCGGACAGTATGGAAAAGCAAGGGTTTTTTTCTTAAGTATTCCGCGGCCCCGTATCGGCATCAGCCCTGTTGGGCCCCGTCTTTGGTGGTCTGATGGCTCCTTGAGGCGCGCGCGGAACGCAACGGCCGGGGCGTGTGGAGATTCGTTCCCTCACCCGCACTTTCTCCTCCTTAGCTAGCATGACTGCTTCGCAGAAGGAGTAGACGGCATCCCGCTCCCCCTCGCTATATTTACTACCACCTGTATGTGTAAATTATGTATACAATAAATACTTGAACATTTGAAAGGTACACAGGCTAATAGTTGGGATAGAAGATTTTGGGTTGATAATCTCACTTCGCGGCATGTATTAACGAGCGCCGGAGTTCTTGGCAATGGCACGCTGTTGCCTTTCGCAGTGTGCCATAGCATCCTGCCGCAAGTCTGCCCCGCAGTCTTTGTTGTCTTTCAATGCGGTGAAATTAAATCCATTTAGATGCCACGGCTTCATTAAAAATCATATCTGTTTTATCCTTTTCTATAATTATCAATACCTTTGAATGTCCATTAGTAAAAATGTAAATCCCTTGCTATACCGTCCCGGTCTGCGTGGGCCTTCAGCTTGACGACGCTCCGTATGCTTCCCATTAAAATCGATCTAAGCATGGCAATTTTATTTGTATGCATTTCACAGCGCCTCCACCGGTTAACGCTGGGCCTAGCCTAGTGCAGAGTTACGAACAGGCGACGCGAGTGTCACGGTTTCGCGCGCATGCACGTGAGAGTGCTTAGGTTTTTGTACCTACCTACCTATGAACTACCCTCCAAAAGGCTGTTCCCGTACTAAATAGGTTGCTAAGTTGTGATGGTTGTGATTGTGATTTGTTACTTCAAGAGGTAGTTAGATCAAATTCCACAATCACATTGCGATTAGCTGTCATGATTATATTCCTTGTCTTGTTTATTATATAGTTTATTTATATTCTATTGTTTATGCTCTATATAACATGTAGATCTAAAGTGTAGTTCGTCCCAACTAATCACAATTTCACAAAGCAACAAACTTATCGTATTCGGTTACTCCGATCTGCGTATAATGGATTTTAGAGTACTATTCTTCCATTCTCAACAGTACAATAATTTATTTGCTAATATTAAAATCTTTTCGTAAATATTCATGAAATTAAAATGTAAAATGTGATTTCAAATTCGTAGTCAATTAATTTTCCAATATTGCATTTTTTTTTGTATGTGACTCAAAGCGTTAGGTATTACAGAACTACAGATATTTAAGAATAGACCAAAAGTTAAACGTCAAAATTATTATGACGTTTTCTTTTCGCTGAAAGAATTAGTGTCGGATAATCGTGTTTATTTAATATTTCTTATTTAAAACGTTGAAATATGGCTGCTGAAATCAAGCCTGCTCCAAGGACGCCAAACGACAGATTTTCCACAACAAAAAAGCCAGCCTTATTGAGTAAATTGGAGGGGTGCACCGACGATGTAAACGCAGCGGTCGTTATACCTGGCGAGGACGGTGTAATTAGCGTTTGTGATGATAAGTAAGAGTTCTGACTCATATTTCGACCATTGTTTGATAACAGAACTCTATTATCTGCATTATTTTCCGAAAAAAGGTTTACTTTGTACCTACATTGGAACTGTCAACGTATTCGAAATCACCCCCTAATGTGGGTGGTAAATACATAATGTAATACAATTTCATTTGAAGTCTATTGGATAGTAATTGTTTGAGTTCACTAATCTAATAGTTAAAATGAGATGGTTTTAAAGCAAATTTATGTAATGAAATAATTGCAAGTCTGCATTAATTTAATTGTTATTTTGGCTGACCATAAAGAAAATTTTGACTGCTGGATATAAAAGTCGTAACAGAACGATCAAGTCAGGACACACAAATAAATTATATACTTTGCCATATGTTCAAAAAATATTTGTAAAAACATTGCAACAGCTCTTAAAAACAATGATAATAAGGATCTGTTCTAGTTTATAAATAAACATGAAATCTTATTACAGGACAGTGCGAGTATGGTTAAAGAGGGACTCTGGACAGTACTGGCCATCTATTTGCCAATACATGCCCTCAGGCTGCACCTCAATGTTCTATACACCAGAGACAAGGCAGCTATTTATTGGCCAAGAAAATGGAACCGTTTCAGAGTTTACATTGGCACAAGATTGTAATAGAATAAACCCTGTGAGTAATGCCCTAGTTACTATACTTTAATCTTACTTCTTACTAATATTAAAAAGGCGACAATTTGTGAGGATGTGTGTTTGTTACTCTTGCAAGCAAAAACGGCAAAAAGGATTGAAATGATATTTGGAATAGGGGTAAAATATGGTCTGGAATAATGCGTAATAGGCCACTTTTCATCCCACAGGAATGTGGTTGAAACTGCTGGCATAAGCTAGTACTTCCACACTTTACTCCAGTTTCATTATCTGAATATGTTATTGGGTCATTATGAGAAAGAATTAGTGTCGAGATTTACCAAATAGTGATAGTATACCTATTTCTTCTTTGAAAATCAATTAAAAATTATACGCATTTGGGCTCAATATAGGCTAACAATGAGTAATGGTCATAACACCATAATTATATAAAACATATTTTCATAATTATTCTGAAATGAACAGTAGTTCATAAACTAGTAAGTTATTATATTAGGCAATACTTTAGTAGAAAGTAAAAAACTATAATAGGACTAACTTATGCCTGTGACTTCGTACGCGCAATCCTGTTTTTTCCATTCCCTTAGGATTTTCGGGAAATCCTTGGATAAAAAGTATCCTTTGTCTGTTTCCTGGTTCTAAGCCTACTACGTAAGTTATTTTTACTCTTATTGGAGATCTTATTAAATTGTAACAAGGTATATAATTAATTGAGATTCATGTTGATTAATTAGCACTGGTCTGATGGTAAATAGATATTTACCTAACATAAATTTCTTACAAAGTTCCTATGGATACTTATTAGGCCCGGTGACTTGCAATACTATCTGAAAATAAGTTCTGTTAAATTTAATTCATACATGGATAGTGGAAACCAGCCTATATGGTACTGAAAGTTTTTATCAAAACAGTTGGAATCTCTATTTTTAAATATTATTAAATTGTTATTGTATTGAAAGAAATCATTATAAATATACTACCTATCTAAGTACAACATCAGCTTGTAATCCTATTAGGCTCCCATTAAAACAAGTGAAATTGGTTCCTATACAAGTCGCTAACCTTGGCTCCATTTCACGCAGATAGTGAAACCATTTCAATTAATGTACGTTTGTACTGTGTTTATTCCGTTCCTTATCATGTTAGTGTAACTCTAATTTACATAATTTGTGAACTGAGTAACTTTTTAAAATACTACTGGGTTCAAAACTTTACATCGATTTTTTTCTTTAGGTTGTTATCGTTTTGCTAACATAAGTAGTTGTAATGCAAGTTTTGTTGAAAAGTTGTTTAAAAGTGTGTCACAAAGTAAGCTTATGATTAAGTCGTCATCATCATTAGCTGACCTGATACTGCTGACCACAGGCACTCCACTATGGTCTGATTTGGATCTGATAACTTTTGAACACAAATTTATTTCTTGTAGACTCGGGAGTACTTAGCGCACACGGCTCGAGTGACTGCTGTTAATTTCTCGCTGAGTTGCGAGTGGATGCTGTCTGTCAGTCGAGACAAGCTGTTCGCATACCACTGCAGCGAAACTGGACGCAGGATCGGTGGATACTCCTTTGAAGCATGGTGC